CACACACACACACACGTGTAATATATGTTTAATATTAATTTGTTTTTGAAAGTCACATATATAGTATATGAAAAAAAATACATAAATGTATTTAACCGGAATAGTGTACAAATGATATCCAAGATATTGAGATAGTTAAGTCTGCAGAGATAGATTTTGAGCAGAATATGTTACCAATTTCTAATGAAACAACAAATTTGTTTATACACAGTCTTTACACAGTCAATAATATTATCAAGATCAACAAATATTATATTGATTATTGATTGTAGTTGATATTAATGGATTAATATAAAATATTAATAACAATTCAGATTTCTTGATTCTCGAGCATTAATATTTGTATCGTCGAGTAGTAGAAACGTTAATCGTGTAGTAATACTGATTGTGTAAAAAAGAGCGCGTATTTCCATCGATCTAGTTTCACGGTAATAAATATGTCACAATATAATCATAGTTATAGTATATAGATTTTATATTCATGTTTTTAAGAACTTCAATGTATTCTGTTTCCTATATTTTTTCCAGATTAGATTAAATAATATACATAAAGCTCAACTAAAATATTGTCAATAATCTAATTATATAAAAATATTGATGCATACCATTAGTATTACTAATTATTAATGCAATATTACAGTATTATTGATTAGTATTATTGATCGTGTAATGTAATTATGCGTAATTGTGTGTAATTGTATGTAATTGTATGTAATTGTATGTAATTGTATGTAATTGTATGTAATTGTAATTGTGCGGATTAACTGTGAATCTATAATATCTAACAATATCGATAAATTGCGGTTAAAAATATAATATAAAACTTATTAGAAAAGGGGAGGACATGTTAAAAAATTAATGACAAAAATTGGACATAGTCTACTGATAGCCTGACGGCAGATTGATGGGAAAAATTAAGCAAGATTTGTTTAATGCATCTAACGATTAATAACAAAAATCGAGTAAATTCTGCACTGTCACTAAATTGGGACACATTGGAAAATCAATCTAGGGTGCTCGTTTCTCTCTGTATAATTGGCTCTGACGAAATTGCTATCAATCAAAATTCAGACATGCCATTATTATCTGCGTATTTTTTATGCATGCATTTAATGCAAGGCGTGATTGTGTGTTTTATAGGAAGGATAAATAAACAACATAGTATCTGAAAAATAATCGCTAGTACATGTTAAAACCAACAGCCACGATACATTTTATATCTTTCAAAAAAGTTTCATAACTTTCTTTTGCTGTAAAGAATATATTAAGGTTCCTAGTCGCTGCGGATTATATTGGAATCGTGACGTCATAAACGAGAAATGACACAATGAAATTTGTTGCATCCATAATTTGTAAATAAAGAAATATTTGAATAAAACAATACTTGAGATGGCCTTAAGATAATGGATAGTTGTCCAACTTTTGTGAAAATGAACGATTACTATCTTTTCCCCTTCTGATAGTCAATAAATAGCCAAAAGATAGATAGATGAAATGAAGTCTTTAAATAAAAAAACATGACAGCTATTGAAAGAAGTGAAAAATATGCTTTTACATATAAAATTGAAAGATAACTTTAATTGCTGTTCATTTTTACGAATTTGGAAATATGAGTTTCAAGATACCTCTGTATAATTAAGCACATAAAAAAAAAATCGGTTCCGACTTAAAAACTTAAAGCCATATTATTTGATTATTGGGATAATCTGAATATCCAAATTATTCAGATCTGGATCTCAATTCAGATCCTGATTTACATTCGGATCCGAATCTGAAATTTGAATTTAGATTAATATTGTCTCCTTATCGCATTTTACAGTGTTACTTGTTTACAGTGTTTATCATCGTAATCATGCTCGCGAAATAGTTGCTAAGATGTGAGTGACAAAAAACATTATTTAGGATCTAGATTTGAACTCGTACTACTATTCGGATACTTAGAAAATTCGAATAATCTAGGTAATCCGAATTTGAAGCGTCACATTTATTCCCTAAATAAATGGGTATTCAGATAGCATTAGATTTGAATAAATCTTGAAAGTCCTATTTTAAAATAAGAAATAGAAAAAGTAATAAAAGCGTTATTTTTCAAAACTTTTTAATGTCACAATTTAAGCTCCTCGAACGCACCCATAGTATCCTAAACATATCCATAGTATCCTACAAATGTGTCGGATGTGTCTTAAACGATATCTAGAGGATGTTCAAACAATTTCATAAGATATCAAAAATATATCATTGATGCTTCAATACCATATATATGTGTGTGTGTGTGTGTGTGTGTGTGTGTGTGTGTGTGTGTGTGTGTGTGTGTGTGTGTGTGTGTGTGTGTGTGTGTACACACACATATACACATCGTAACCCAGATAATATAGAGAAAAATAATTGTTTTGTATCTCCAAATTATGAAATGTATTCCTTTGCTGAGATTTCATTCTGACATCCATAATGCCGTGGAGATAAACACATAAAGTAACGTCCTTTAAGTAGACCGTTACCTTATCATTATTTCGTTAAAACACAATTAAAAAAAACTCGTAGATGCAGTACTTTTTATTCTATCTTGTATGATTTTTAGTTACGAAAAATGGCATTCAACCGCGGTCATCTGTCGACAGTAACATACTACTTGCGGATGAGCGATTCTTCTCGAACTCGTTATGAATAGAAAAAAAACATTTTTCAGAGCAACTTTGATTTAACTTTACAGAAGTCAAAGTGTATACTATAGAATCCTTTTTGAATTAATCCTGAAAGGAATTTTTTTTGAGTTTCACAACAATCATCTATGTCATTTGGGAAGTATTAATAGAATATTTTATATCTTCCCGAAATTTTATATCTTACGATATCTTCCGTAGGTGTTTGTGTGTGTGTGTGTGTGTGTGTGTGTGTGTGTGTGTGTGTGTCACACAGAGTTAAAAATTCCACAGTTCGTCACTCCCGTAGTATTTTTTTATTTCAAATCCTCTTTGCTATGTGCGCGCGCATGACGAATCCGTGAAGGTCTTTATTCGCATCCTATATCTACAATGTCTCTATATTTCATTACAATTTACAATGTTGTAACATTGTTGTAACGTATGTAAAATGATTTACGCTGTATGAGAGGTACATGTTTATTTTCCAAAACACAAAATTTGAACTTTGCTCCCTAGTGTCTATTCGTGTATAAATAAATAAATATTTAGACCATAAATAATATTAAAATCTATATGATTATCTTTGTTCTTTCCGTTTCAATATTACTTTATGTCAATAAAGTAATTAACATTTCTATACTAGCATTATATTAATTATATTAATCGCTTCAAAAAAAATTTCAAAAAGAGTAAAAACTGAGAAATATATATCGTTAATTTTATGTAAACTTTTTCTACATTTTAGTTAAGGAGTAAAAGCATAGATTATTTCCAAGCAAGAGGAAAGTGATTCGTATGGACAAGCAGTGAATTATTTTCGATGCCATTCTTTTAAATGTGCGGTGCGAAATGATGGGCGCGCGCGCGCGCGCGCATGCGCGCGTCGCGTATATAGTTCGCTGTGCCGAGCGGCACCTTCAGTTTCAGTCCATTCTTTACCGCACGCGTGTTTATGTCGGTCCTACAGGTGGATGCGCGGTCGTGCGTCCGTCCGTCCGTCCGTCCGTCCGTCCGCCCATCTTCGTACTCGCTCGGTCCGGTTCGTCTGAGCAACCGCCCCCGCTTTCTTCGCGCGAACGGTAAATAGAGCGGGGCCAGTTTATTCGGACCGGATTAATTGACAGTGCTGTGGGGATTTCCCGGGTCACGAATGCATCGTAGTCAAACGACGCGACGCGACGTACCGCGCCGCGCGTTTTAGCGTACTTTGAAACAGCGATACGTTGGTGTGGAGAGATAGAGCGGGACAGAAGAACATGAACTCGATCGCGACGAGGATGCCGCGCGGCCGACATCCTTGCGTCGTGGACTCCGCGATCGAGCCCCAGGATCCGACACCTGCCACAAAATACGTTGTGTGAGTCGCCGGTCGATTTCGAATTTCCGAGCAGAGCGCCGAGCGTCTCTGTTCGCGTCATTGTTAAAATGGACCTGCCGGGCGCAATGTTGCAATCGCGATTATGTGACTCGTAGTCGACGAGTAGTCTTCACCGAAGCGACGTCCCGCGACGAATATTGCATCGCGATGACGCGCGTCTACACGTCTCGTTCATAAAGCGACACTCGCTTCGCGATCGTTACGTCCTGACGTAACTCGTCTCGTCGTCGTCACAGGTTTTTTTTTTTTTTTATTCGAAAGTTGATTGCACATATTCGCATCATCATCGAAGACACCCGGAACAAGAATCGTTTCGCGCGAATTTTCATCATAAGAGTAAGTAACTGCTTTAAGGATTTTATTATTATTACGTCATATCAGGACACGATATGGGACATGGGACTTCAATTGCCATTGAGAATTCCTAACTGAAGTAACTGAAGTGAACATAGCGAGTTTTTATCATAGTCATCTAATCCAGCCAATCCCCCCCGAGATTTTGTGAAAAGAATTGAAAAGAAATCGCAACAAAGACATCGCGAGTGAAATCGCAATTGCTCTTGGACTGTTCATTACGCGCCGAAATCATTTCGTCGAAATTAAATTCTCCCCCGTTAGTCCTTGGAAGTGCGTCGGGATGCGTAAGGAAGTGCAGCCGCAGCTGCAGGAGCAAAGCGCCGGGAGGTTAGGCGAGGCCGACACCCACTGAGCGAGCTGTCGATCAGCTGTTCCGCGCTGCCGACATCGTCGTTTCGGACACAGGTACGTGTCTGTTTTCACTTTCCTCGCTCTCGCTCTTCTTGTACTCCGGAACATACAATCGGAGCTCGCAGTGTAGAAAAAAACAAATATCTTGTGTCTCTGTAGCGATATCGATATCTTCAAACGTCATCCGACTTGGGTTTTGGTTTCGTATGTTCAATTAAGGTATACCAAGGTATATCATAGGGTTCACTCTGATACGCATTAATACGATCACGTAAATAGCGACTGATGGGAGGTATTAATGAATTAAGAGTACGTATATACGTGGAGAACATATTTTGCCGAAGCACCTAAAAAAATTTGGTCAGATACAGCTACACTAATTAAAGATAACTAGAAATAATTTTGTTGTTAAATAAATTTGCGAGTAGTATCGAATTTACTTAAATGTAGAGAATTATGTATTTGTCACAATTTGTCTGATTTTATCTAGTCAATCGTCTCATTAACCTAGATTCACATTGGATATTTATTACACTAGGTAAAATTCTCAAGTCTGTTCATCATTTTCGAATGTGCTTTCTCTTACAAGCAAATATTTTGCAAACTATTGTCTTTTTAATATTTTTCTGCATAGGCAAATTCTTTGATGTTTCTTTGATGGAAAAAAAAATGAGTTAAAAACAGTTGATTTTTTTTTTAAATTTATGAAATTAGATGTGGAGTAATTACTACTCCAGCATAAGAAATTCCTGACAATTTGAAAAATGTGAATCTAAAGTTGAGACAGTGGTTGCTCGATGCATATTTTTGTTTTGATTCTTTACAACGATTCGAAAAAATGCTTGAATATTTCAAAGTGAAGAAAAATTAATTCACGCTAATATGTTTGTAATTTTTCAATTAATGAATATCCATGATTAGCGTGTCTGGTGCTTGGTAATGAGAATATTTAGCAAATTTTATTTTAATTTTATTTGTGTGAAGAATTTTTTAAACAACATGCTAGAAAATATCAAAATATCTAATATCTGCTAAATCTTAACTTCCTAAAGAGTCATTGAGCGGAAATACGTTCGATTTGACGCTCGCAATGCTTTTGACCATCGTAGATAAAACGGTTCTAAAAGTATTGCGAGCGTCAAGTACGTATTCTAAATAGACACCTAAAACTCAACGTCAGTCATCGTTACCTACTACTGCATATTTCAAAAATATGCCATTTATATTCCTAGTTGTACTTTGCTCGAGCGAATCGATTCTCCGCTCCAGTTTTTCGTTACACCTTCGAGTCTTAACCATCGAACTTGAGATTAGAACGTTCCTTTTTTATAATTCACTTTGCTAGACTGCCACTGTTTTGCTTTTCTTTTATTTGAAACATGCATTTTTACGATTATCAGTCACTAAAACGCACAATCTCTCGCTTACGTCAATACGATTTGCTGAGAAAATCAATAATCAATAGGAGGAAAATACACATTGTGATTTACAGACTATTAATACGTAGTTTCTTGAAAATTTTAAACAATCTTGCTCGATCTTCAGAGCAAAATTCCATTATGATTTCAAACATTTTATCGATTTGGCTATTGCATCGTTCGCATTGCTTCAAGTGACAAATCAGTTGAACAACTGTGGATCAATTTTTGACTAAAAATTCTATCGTGAAAAATAAATTATATTTATTGCTTTAGGTTATGTTCACCGCATATATTTTTTAAATAGAAATAATAATTTCTCTCTTTATTAAATGTAAACATTATTAAAATATAAATTT